TGTGAAAACAAGTTAACACACACAGACACACACACACACATTATATATATATATATATATATATATATATATATATATATATATATAGTGTGTGTCATAACTAATAATAATTAATAAAAAGAGTCTAATTGATAAAGATACTCTTTTTATTAATTATTATTAGTTGTGATGTGTTTTTGCACAAGTTTAGTGTTTAAAAAATTTTATATATTTTTTTGTGTTTTTCCTGGTTCGGTATCTATATAATTTTCTCCTTTTTATATTTTTATATTTATTATAAATTATTGTTATTTATGTAATAATATGTTTTTTTCGATTACTGAATGATGATACACATTAAGTGTCGGAACGTTTAATAAAATAGAAAGAATTTCTATTTTAATCTTTTTTTAATTCGACGATTGGGCTGCAAAATACTTCAAATATATATATACATGGTCTGTTCAAAAAGTACCCGGAATTACTAATAATTAAATTTCGCGGGTCTGGAGTGTCTGATTGTCAAAATTTTTTTTTTATTGTGTTGGTATACATGCCCCTAAAGTATGATGAAATTTTCAGCTATATTCACTGTTTACTTTGTCTGTGGTAGTCGCTAAGGTTCGACGTGTTTTTCTGAGCTCGGCGATTTTTACAATGGAAGAATTGAAAAAGTCAAAGAATTTGTATTAAATTTTGCGTAAAAAATGAAATAAAGTGTTGCAAAGTGCAAAAATTCACCAGATATGGCTCCGTGTGACTTTTTCCTATTCCCAAAGTTGAAGAGACCCATGAAAGGACGGCGGTTTTCCTCGATTGAAGAAAATCGCCGAGAGTGCTCAAGGACATATCAAAAAGTGAATATCAAGGGTGCTTCGAAAATTGGAAAAAACGCTGGCATAAGTGTATTATATCTGGGGGGGACTACTTTGAAGGGGACCACATTAATGTAGACGAATAAATAAATATTTTTTTGAAAAAACGAAAATTACGAAAACTTTTTGAACAGACCTCGTATATATATATATATATTAGTGATGTGCCGACTCGAAAAATTCCCGATTCGAATGATTCGAATCAGAAAAAAACCTGATTCGAATCATGATTCGAATCAACTCGAATCAAGTATATATATTAGGTTGTCAAATATCTCCCTTCCGCTTTTTTGCTCTTGGTTTATAATACAAAAAGGCGGAAGGGAGATATTTGACAACCTAATATATGGACGAAAAAAATCATGGATGTATTAATTTAGTAAAAGTGATCCAAATTTATAATCAAAATTGTCAGTTTAACCAATATAACCGACAAAGTAAAAATTGTAAACATAAATTACTATCAAAAAGTATATTCTGAAAATTATTAAAAATGATATAATTTTGAGAACGGCTGAAAAATATCTTCAAATTAATTTACAATAATAGATTACCAAACAATTGTGCATCACTAAAGCATATAAAACAATATTTGGAATCATGGGTCGATTGTTTATTTTACTATGTAATCAGTAAAGGATCGCATCTAAACTGAGAGCTGAAAGTTAATTTCATTAATGTGAATTTGCCATTACTTACATAATCAGAAGTTAACATATTATTTACTAACTTTCTGGTATTTAGTAATTGTTTCCAGAGAGAATTATATTGAAAGATTCCCGAAACTCGTTTCATAATTTCGAGTGGTTTATTCTGATAACATTTAAAATCTAAAACACTTAATTATTATCAAAATTGTGTATTGATATTTCACAAACAAAATCGCTCTCAGCGCTCCGTAAAATAAATAAACACGCAAGAACGACGACGCACTGTATCGCCCATACGGTTAACTCATATCGCTTGAACTCATATCGCTCGAACGGCTTGAAGTCGGGATGATTCGAATCAGAATTGAAGTCGGAACAACTCATAACGCCGCTTGATTCGAGTTGGCTCATATGAAGTCGGAACAACTCGTATCGCCGCTTGATTCGGTTTGAGTCATATGAAGTCGGATGATATAGTTAGTCGATGAATGCGGTTAAAGTTATATAAAGACGATTGGAGTCGGCTGATACATTTAAGCATATTAAAGTCGGGTGGCTCGCATGATTTAATTCATTGTTTATTTTTTATATTTATGATATTTATTTTTTATATTATTATAATATTGAATTAAATTAATACATTTTTTTTATATTTATATTTATGAAAATTTTTATATTTATGAAAAATTTGTGTTAATACATATTTTATCACAGTAAATATGTCGCGGCTTGATGCGAGTTGATTCGAATCAAGTAAAATCTGATTCGAATCAAGTCGTTAAAGGCTTGATTCGAATGATTCGAATCACTTGATTCGACTTGGCACATCACTAATATATATATATATATATATATATACAGGGCCGGTCCTGGGGTCCTTAGCGCCCGCATGCAACTTTTTTCCCAGCGCCCCCCTCCTATTAATTTTCACCGTTTTAACAGTTTATCATTAAAATTATATAAATATTTACATATTTTTAAAAAATTAATTTTTAATTATTCTGGATTTAGTACACAAAAGAAGATATAATCTAGAAGGGTATAAAATATATTGATTTTAAATTTATTTATTATTATCGATATCAATAAATAAAACAATCCCTGTCATAATTTCACATTTTAGTAATATTCAATATGTAGTAAATTGGTTAAGGATGTAAGTTTGACTACCATAGCAAAAAAATTAATATTTTTGTTATAGAGTTTAAGAAATGCATTTCAGAAAAAGTATTTATCATTTTGATATAAAGATCTTGATATCAAAATAATAAATACTATTTCTGAAATGCATTTCTTTAATTCTATAACTTTAGTTTAACAAAAATATTAAGTGAAATAAATAAATTATTTTTTAATTATTCTGGATTTAGTGCACAAAAAATTAGATATAATCTAAAAACGTATAAGATATATTGATTTTAAATTTATTTGAAAAATCGAGGCAATTCGGGGGTTGATTATAATCAAGTATTTTGAAATTTACAATAATAATATTTAAAAAAAAACTAGCATTTAATTTTCAAACATAACACTCGTATTTCATGTTGTATTTTTTAAATTGTAATTTAATTTAATATTTCATCATTTACAATATCCAAAATTGCGTCGTAAACTTCTCCTTATTGATATCGTAAGAGCCTTCATATTCAGAGTATCAGCTTGATTTAAATTTAAATTTTTAACGTATTTTAGAAGTATTGTTAAAAAATCAGTAAAAAATGCAAAGAAATTACACATTTCTTGAACAATATTGAAAAAAAAACTTATTATATTTAATATGTATTTTTCCTGTATAGTTGATAATTATTAAATTTAGAGTATGGACACCACTAGGTATAAAACAAGCCTTAAGATTTTTTTTCCAAAGTAAATTTTGCTTCCATTTTTCATATTTGTTCCACGCATGTCTTCAACATTCAAAGTTCATCAGAAGCGAAACATTTGCAACAAAAGCAAAAGTTACAGTTCAATTATTCGCAATAAACGAGTCATTTTCTAAGCACTGACTTCCCATTTCTTATAATTTGTTTATATTTTTTAACAAGTTCCGATTCAACTAAATCAGCTCCCAAATTTTCGTCCAACAATTAATTTAATGTTTTGCAGGTTTGCGCTTCTGGGATTGAACACTAGATAATTTCTTTTTCGATTCCACGGTAACTTCAAACAAAGAAAAAATTGAATAAGTAGATTAAGCAATAAACAGAGCTGATATTTACTAATTTGCAGAATTATTAATCGGTTAATTGTTTCTACTGATATCACATTGCAAAATAAATATGCTTTCTGTGTCTCCGTATCCCTAGTTAAGTTAAATTATTTATTATAATTTATTAAGTATTCTAGATTTTAAATAAATAATTCTAGATTTTATATAAAAAAATATAAATATTGTATTATAAATTTAATTTCCGAAACTCGTTTTGGCGCCCCCTAAGGCTTGCGCCCGCATTTTTTGCATGCATCGCATGCAAGGCAGGACCGGCCCTGTATATATATATATATATATATATATATATATATATATATATATATATATATATATATAGAATGACACATAAATAAATATGCACTTGTTCAACGATGACTTCACTGATAACGATTAAATGACAAAAGTAAATAATGGTAATTCAAAAAAGCCAACATCTGTTTCGAATAAGCAAATTGTACAAAGTAATCGTTTATATATTTCTAATTTAACAGTTGGTCTAACTATTATGTTGTGATTTTAAATCGATTATTTTTTATAATTTTTATAATACAGATATATGTTGATATTTACATAATGCACACAGAGATTGAGGAACCTGATACGGAAATCATAAATATAATACCGTATTCTTCAAACAATTATCAATAAATTTTAAAGGTGTAAACAATAATAACAATGCTATCATAAAGAATATACTCTATATTGGGTGCTATGAAGATAAGAACTTAGAATTACAAATTTATAAATTTGTAAAAATTTGTTTATTTGAAATATATATAAAATTGATGTTGATTAAGTTTTGGAAATAGCTAAGCCATTTTTTGCAATTCTTCAGTTGAAAAAATTGTGTCTTTATTTTAAAATAATGACACAATTTTTTTTTATTTTGTTTAACAGATTAATATTTAAATTTTTATTTTCTCAAGGCATTGTCGACTATTTCAAAATGTTTAAATCTTGTCAAAAGATACAATTGGAAACTCCGTATATTGATAGTGAGTACAGTTCGGCTGAGATGTTTCTATATAATTAACGGTAAAAGATTCAAATATTATCTTAGTTAGAAATTCGTTATTGATAATAAATTTCTGAGTTTTTAAGTGCGCATAAATCAAATACTTCAGGATTCAGTAAACTAAGTTGAACAACACTAGGAATCAATAGATACTTTCACTAAAACATTCAGTAACTTTGTACAATTTTCCAACATTGGACCAACCTATATTTGTTCTGAACCTGATAGTGACTGATTCTAAAGAAAGAAACGCTTTAATATTTACTCACCAGTTGCAACAATTTAAGTATTCCTGGCGTAGTTTTGAAGTAATCGATATTGAACCTTAACCAGGATAGCGCGCCTTCGGGTTTGGTTCCTGCCTGGTGAGTAACATTCCTGGTTGTCGTGTGTTCTACGGTAACTACGGTCTCAGTCATCATGGCAGTTTATGAACTACAATCAATTAGCACAAATAACAACCAAAATCACTAAAAATAAACAAAAACTGAACAAATCCAACTGATCTAATCATCAACACCACATTTGCACCGGTCGCACGCAAAGCAACAAGTAACTGGCCAAGTTGGTCGCGCAGTAACAGTAACGCGAGCGCCGGCCTCTTCTGCCGAGCCGTTATCTCGTCATTGATCGGGGCTTTACGCGCCCGTTCGTGCCGTGTGTAGGTATGAAACTGGATACGATGGTACGAAGTCAGGCGGCACGGCCTGACTGCGTGGAAATCAAAATATTTACAACGTCTCAAGGAACTTTTCCGGATTTCTATCAGATTACTTTAACAAGATTATCATTTCGATCTTTTTTCTACTGAAAATGCCAAACTGATGTTTCCTAAGATAACTAGTTTTTCAATTTTGCTAACGGTTACGCGCTGGTTAAAGTTAACTAGTGGTACATGGCATCGTATCTTAAGGCAAATTGCCAGAACTTCCCGAACCGAAAATTATTTTTTTAAAACTTTGAGAAAATTAGATATTCGGGAATTTTGATTTTTTTAAAAAAAATTGACTTTTTTATATTTCGAATTTTTTTGAGAATTTTAAAGTTTTTTTCAAAGCAATCGCGCTGCGTAGGTGCTATAGAAACGAAATATCGAAGCGCGTAATCGCCGCCTGTTGCGATCCAACGTATAAACATTTGTATGGAACCTATAGAAATGTAAGCAAAATTTGTAATTATTATTAAAATTCTTAGAAAATATCTGATAGTTCGTTGTACATATGTGCAATGATCGTTTTTGATCGCCAAATGACATTTTTTGTTACTTTTTTCAATGGATCTCCGAAACCGATAGAATCGCCTTCCCAAAAATTTGATCAGTGGTTCATCTTGTCTAATCGAATTATTGAAATTGGACGTTCCGTTCTCTCAAAAAATGAATTACCATTTTTTACACTTTTTGCTCCGTATCTTCAAAACGGCTGAACCGGTCTTTGCTAAAAACTAATCAGCACGTCTCCTTATCAGTAGAAATCGAATGCTTTTTGTATTATTTAAATCGGTTCTCGAAATCTTCGGCAAAAAGTAGTATGTATCCGCACATACATAAAAACACACACATACACAAACACATACATAGATTTTTATAAGGTATGCCAAAATATTCAGAAACCTTTGAAAAGTATAAAAAATTTCATTTTCCATTTTTTTGCGACTACTATAACTTACCCTACGGAAAGTTATAAATTCTTTTGAATCCTAATAAAATATATAATTATAATTAGGTAACGCTCTTTGAGGTTGGCAATTAAATATTATAAATGCACGTAAAACTAATTTATATATAATTTGAAGTCATTTTCCTTCACGATTTGAATAAGTGTTTTATGATTCCGATCATTTTAATCAAGAAAAGTGGGCACGTTGTCGATATAATTCATCCTGAAAAAAATGGCGTGCAAATAATAACGTGCGATTTAATTTAATGAAAATCTTTTATTATTGTACCTAAATCAAACCACTTCGGATTTACATTGTTAATTTAGTATGCTCATGATATATATGTATATTGAATATTCAAATATTTTGATGATGCATTATTTATAATATAACTGGAACAGAGATCTATTAAAGTTATTATAGAAATATATGTTCACAACTTTGTCCAATAAAGTTCTACATAGTCGAACAGCAGATTCTGGCGATTTCTTGTCATACACTCACTCATATGTATACAAAATAATATTCGTAATATATGTCCATATATATACATATACATATATAAATATATATATATATATATATATATATATATATATATAGATGCATATTAAATAAATCCAATAGATGATCCAATTTATTAAATTTATTTCTCTAATTTAGAAAAATACAAATCAACTGCTATATTTGTCTTCTTGTTTGAAAAATGACTTTTTTGTGTACATATGTGGTGTAATTACCTTTTATATTTAGTTATATAAACCAACCAGAATTTTTTGTCATCGCTTTGCATTTTGAACATGTATATATGCACATATACATGTTAATATTTACACAAACATTTTTCCTAGATTTTGTTTTAATAAAAATAATATATATATATAAATATACAGAAATATAACAGCATTTATAGTTAAGTCGTGAAAAAATCTATCGTATAAATAAAAAATTCTTATAAGATATATTTACATACGTACATGTTTATATGTTTACATGTTTATATATATATATATATATATATATATATATATATACTACATAATAAGATTGATTAAAATAGGAAATATTATCCTCATAAATGTGGATAGAATTTGACAAGAATATTATTAAAAGTAAAATGATTTTAAAATATCGTGTTTTTCCATTAAATTCTTGTTACGAAACGTTGGTTAATTGCAAATTCATGTAACAGTTAAAAACCTTTCAGCTAAAACTAGTAAATAATATGTTTTCATATATTAGTTTAATCGTTAATTCTAAGATTAAATGTTAAAACCGGAGAAATAATTAAATAAAAAAAGCAAATAAACAATATATTTAGAATTCCAAGCCTTTTATTTGCGGAGATGATAAGTCCCACTTTGATCAATAACAGTTCATTAAAATGTAAAATAAAAAACATTTGTAAATATATATATATATATATATATATATATATATATATATATATATACAATGCGTTGAAATCTGTGTACATACTGTGTGATTTTTGGATGTGTCTTCTGCAGGTCTGTATTGTTCCTTTAGAATAATAGCCATATCCACAAGCATAAATTCACTGATATTCACCGAAAAATAATAATAAAAATGTTATAATGTGTACCAATTAGTATCAAAAAAATATAAGTTTGTTATTAAATTAGATTCTAATTATATATATTTTATATTCTGTTATTTCGTATCGTATCAATAATTTTCGTTAGTTTCACTTATTTGTGTAATTGTAATGAAAGCTAAAGTACTGTTGACTATTTCAAGCATACGTACTTTAACTTTTATTATAGCACTGAAGATAATAGAAAAGGAATGAATTGATTGATTTTTATTTCAGTGTGGATGGCTGGTCATTATCATAAAGAAAGAAAGCAAACCCATATGTATGTATGTTTAAATATATATATATATATATATATATATATATATATATATATATATATATATATATATATAGGTGTGTGTATGTGTACGTGAGTGTCTGTGAATATTCAGGTTACTGAGAAAATCGAAAAAAATTACAATTTCTAATATAATTTTTTTCGCTTCCAGGTAATCCAATTAAAAAAAACACCGTTTGTGTTTTTTCTATTGATATACGCTTCCAGCACCCATAAATAAATTTGGTCTTAACAAAATTCCTGAAAACTTTGGATAATAATTCGTAACCGCTAAAATCTGCGTGAATAGTTTGTCAGAAACGCTTCGGAAGAAGTATAAATGACATTTTTTCCAAACTATGCACCTAGATAATTATTTTTGAGATCTAATTAAAGACCAAAAATTCTTTACTAGTGACCATATGGCATTATCTAATTATTCCTTATAAAAATATTTTTTTTCAATAGTTTTGAACAAATTTTCGTAATAAATCAGTTGACAATACTAGATAATTTATATATTTAAATACTAATTTTTGAACTAAATATATCAGTATAGTTTCTTTTTTGTATTATAAAAAGATTTCAAAAGTAGAAAGGGAATATTTTTCCTTCTATATTAAGGTTAAATTGTATTTCTAAATACTTCCATCTATGAATTCGTATATAAATAATGGCAAAAAGCCGTAAAATGTATAAACAGTTAAGTTATCTAAAATGAAATTTATGTATAATTTACATGTTTAAAGTCACATCATGAACATTATCAAAGTTAATTCATATAGATATATATATATATTGTTATATTATACTATGCTATAGACACACAATCTGCAAAAATTGATAATTTGGACATTTCAAATATTCCAGCACATCATAGAAAAGAAGTAACATGAAAAAATACAATTCTTATATAAAACCATGTTCCATCAAAATATACGATCAGGTTGTTTCTAATTTTAAGTTGATATTAGTCTCAAAACTATCCAAAATCAGCTATAAAGAGAAATATATATATATATATATATATATATATATATGCATATATATTAATTTGGTTTGGACAGTTTGGAATTACATAAAATGTATTTAAAATGTATCAATCACAATCCCATTAAAAAACTATTTATATATTTATAAAATAATGTATCAACGAATCTCTTATTATGATATATGTTAAATGTACATATACATGAGCAGTTAGTAATAAATGTATTTCTTATATTAAGCGAATATATAGTCCAATGATTAATGAAATTGTTATAACAACAGGTACTCTTTTAGCTAACACAGTGGTACGTATTTAATATTTCTATTTTTGCATGTAATATGAACCATGAAACAATGAAAGCTGATTTGATCAAGTTGAAAATATTAATGAAAAACACATCGGCTCACATAATATACATTTATTTTCAATTTAATTAACTGGGAAATGCTATTACATAAATATAACGTATTATAACATACAAAAATACAAAACATATTTATACTACTAAGTTTATACTGTTTGCAACAGTTGTCTTACCTTAAAGTAAAAACTGTGGGCCCTGCCCTATATACACTGTGTCTATTTACTGATTACAATCACATCTGACAATCCCAATCACAATTCAATATAATCACCAACTCATTTATTTAATTTATAATCAATATGCCTGGATTTGAATTTAAATTCAATTGGAAAACCAATCAGATTGGTTGCACACATAAATATACTATTTTGTATTTTATCGACATGAAGAGATAAGTTATATTTTTAGATCACCACTGACTTTTTTACTTTTGATTAAGTCTCAAATTTATATTATATATTTAAATATTGTTTTATAATACTGAATATTTGATGTGTGAATATTATTAAGCCAAAAGATTTACAACTGACATGCAAGCATTAACAGTAATCTAAAGACATAACTTAAACATTGATTATAAATATGTGTGATGTAACTGAATAACTAAATTTAACTTTAGCATTATATTGAGATCCACATTTATATTATTTTCAAGATAGCAAAATTTTGATAGACTTACATATTCATGTACAAATGTATCATGTACATATTTCTATGAATAAAAAAAAACTTTAATACTTTTACATCAACTACCAGGCATTGTCTCAATTTTATTATATATTTTTAGAAGTATATGTTTATGTGTTTATAAATATATGTATATGATTTTATGTATTTATGTGTATATGCAATTATAAATTGATTCTTGTCCAAAGAAAGAAATAATTAAAAATATAGAAAATTCATCATACTACATTATACCATTTCCCATTTCTAATAACCAAATCTAGTTTGTTAAGTTAACATAAAGTATGATTAATATTGAGACAAGAACAATTTATAAAACTTTGTTTATGTACTTGTGTGCAGCTGTTAAGAAAATATTATATGTGCTGCAACACAGTACATAAAAACTACAGATATTTCACAGTATCAGCACAATACTTCGTTTTGTAGGTATCTTTACAGAATGAAATCATCGAAATGTCGTCCAAGGAAGACGTTTCTTATATATTATTAGATATACATTATACAATAAATATTGCTTTGTGCAATGAGAGAAAAAAATATTACCTCATATTAATAATTTTTAATTCAAATTGGTATTAAAATTAAGCTTTACTTAAATATCAAGAAGCTCTTTTATTGCATAATTCGTATTATCTAGAGATCCATTATTATCACTCAATGCCACATTTTAGTAATAACAAGATATTCACTATTTTTTTCATTTTGGATCATGCTTTTTATCTAATAATTTATAAGAAAATTAATACTTCATAAAAATGATCATATATTTAATAGTATATTGATTATTTAAAATCTTTTTTTTTTTATATTATTTTAATTAATACGCACTTTTATAAAAAAAATCATCATACGAAAATTTTACTGAAAAATATTGGTTATAAAAACTTCAATATTATTAAATCATATAAATATATTTGAGTATACTATTTATATTGAGAATTTTTATATATAAATAAATTTATAAAAGTTTTAAAAAGAATCTATCTCATATTCGCTACATATCTAATGATATGATTATTATAATTGCAACTATATTTTTACATTTTTGTTTCCATTTTATACCATAAAAAAGCTTCTTGGACTAGATCTTCCACACATCAATGGTTTTCTAGTTTACTCAGTTTTCTTCCAGCGTTTACGCCTTTTGGAGATATATCACATGACATTACTTGACAATATTATATGCACATATGTGTAGAATATATACATCTTAGGTATCTTCTTGTGTGCGAAATGTACATACATACATGCATATAAAATACACGCATATATAAAGATTCTCTGTATGAATTTACAAAAATGTTTTTTTTTTCTTAATTGTACATTTTTTTATTTTTAACCTATTCACTAATTCTTTAAGCAAGTGAAAAAATAAGTTACAAAGTATGTATTCAGTATAATAATTTAACGAGAGAGATAGAGAAAACGATTCTCTGGGGTTTAGTTGGCGACGAGGAGATGCTGATACTGGCTTGCAGGGTAGGAGGAGGGCAACAGGTCCAGCAGTTTGTTAGCTTCAGTCGTCGGAGCAGCATTATTGTGAGCAGTCGTGTTCGCGTGCTGCGTGTGCGGCACATAAAACGGATGGCCGGGTGCGTTGCCATTGGCCGCATTGTTCGCACCGCTGCCGGCGGCCGTCGACGGTTCCGGGGCAGCGTAACGAACACCCGTATGGGGAGCGGGATATTGCGCGCTGCTATTGTACGGCTGGAACGGGGTCGGCGGATAGAAATAGCCGCCGTGGTCGGGCTGAATGAGGGACGGGGAGCGCAATCCCTGCATGTGGTGGGACGCGCCGCCGCCGCCACCGATTTGCTGCTGCATTGCACGCTGCTTTATGTAGTTCGAGAACTCGGTCGGAGACATCCTGCAAAACCAAACTTATTTATTCATTTATTTTGATATGCACAGAAAATAGCGACGAGGGGCATTAAAACTCGGCATGGCAAAATATATTAATAACGGTTATAATTTACCATACGTACGCACACCGAGGGTAGAATGCCTAGGATTACGTTGTCTTTCATACCATTCGTACAAACCGATGACATATGAATAAAATTATATTGAAAACTGAACATCAGTATTAGATTCACATAGTTTATTTCGGATAAAACTAAATATGATACGATGATATGGTTATTACCATTAACACAAGCAAAAAAATACGTGCAAGCCAAATATATACCCCCAGCAATTCAATTTATTTTATTTGAGACAAATTAGGATAAAATGTTCAAAAATCAACTAATTGCTAGTATATTATTGATATAGCTGTTCGTTGAAAAACTATTTTTATGAATAAATTTTTGACTTAAATATTTTAAATTAAAGTTGTTCGCAAAAATGTGTTATATATATATATATATATATATATATATATATAAATATGGGCAATATAAATAACATAATTGCCCGAATTAAGAATTAATACATTACTGAATTATTGCAATTATTTGTCACCTGTTAGCGCGCTTGCTGTTAGTTTTGAGCTTAGTAGAGCCAAATTTAGTTTGAGCGAACGCCGCAGTGGTGAAGGTGAGCGGTGCGCTGGGCCTCGGAGCAAAAGAAGGTGGACTTGGAGCAATGGGCGGCGAGGGAGAATTTCCGCCTTGCATCACAGAAACGCAAGGCATACGAGCCTCTGGCGACAAGCTTAGCTCACTGAAACCTGCTTCCACTGGACGGAAGCACTGTGCTTCAGGATTAAATGTCTTAGTGACCTCACGGTCTGCAATTGCGTTGTCGTGTGGATCATGCGAATCTGGGGATTCACTAAATAACACCTTAACAGCGCCTTTCTCGCCAATACGATAGCTCACCTCCCCGGGGTCCACCCAAACGGCCAACTCTTGCGGCAGATTTTCCAAAATGTCTTGAATCGGCACACCGCTCTCGCGCGCCGCTCGCTCTAATACGGGATCAGCTGGGTCGCCGGTTTTCAAGCAACGGAATGCGGATCCTTTGAAAGGCTTCTCGGGATACCAATGCCCTCGGAACTTGTCCTTCAGCGCCCTCTCCAACTCTTCGCCAAAGATGTTCACTCGTCGTCGAGGTAATTTGTTGTAAAGGTACGAAATGACGAAGTTCAGTGCAACTTGTACTTCGATGTGCATGGTTCTTGCTGATTTGGTTTACTAATGTTGAACAGGATATAACGACAATTAAGAGTATATCTCTACAGAGAGATCATGGATTGCATATGATGTTGGGAGATCAGTGTTCCAAAGACCTGCAAAAAAAATTATAATGAAATTATAAAATATATCAAAAATAGATATTTTATTATTTTGTTTTGACATATAAAAAGCTAACTTCAATTATAATTCACGACATGATTATTGCTATAAAAATGAGTGTTAGTTGACTTATTTTCATACAGCAATAAAGTATTTATTATAAAATAATAGCATTTAGCCAAGAAATAATGTTTTATTCTGACCTAGTTTTTTGACAATAGCCAAAAAATATAACGGAATTTAGTTTAATTTGGTGTAACGCAAAATTTTATAATGAAATTATAAAATATATCAAAAATAAATATTGAGGTAAGACATATACCAGTTTTTTTTTGTAACAATGAGATACGATTTTTCTAAGAGAAGAAACAGTCATAAAATATCTTACACTTCGACTGAAAATAAAATACTGATCTGTGTGTATCGACAAAATTTGAACATTTAGAATGCTAACTTCCATTATAATTCTCGATATGATAATTGCTATAAAAATGAATATCAATTGACTTATTTTCATACAGCAATAAAGTATTCATTATAAAATAATCGGATTTAGCCAAATAATAATATTCGAAATAATAATGTTCTATTGGCCTAGTTTTATTACAATAAATAACCAAAAAATTTAACGTTAATTAGTTCAATTTGGTGTAACGCAAAATTTCATAATTAGATAAAATAGGATACATACCAGTATTTTCTAAGATATGACTTTTCTAAGATAAGAAATAGTCAGAAAATATTTTACACATCGATTGAAAATAAAATACTGATCTGTGTGTGTATCGGCAAAATTTGTTTTGAATCATAAAACTGAAACGGAGTAAGCTTTTTGTTTTTATAGTCACAAAGTTCATAAATCGAAAATCGCATTTGATATATTCAATTATAAACTATTCAACTGTTCTATTATCATTTCAATCGCGAAGGTCATTGCAATATGCGTAACAAGCAGCGTAATAACATGCAGGGATATGGCAGTCGTAATAAAACGGAACTCCACATCATCTTCCTTTATTATAAAATACTTATGTAATGAGCGAAAACAAATTAAACGTTTTGTAATATGAAGATTCCAGAAGAATGCTGCAGTAATTTAATCACAAAACACGTGAGGCACCTATTATTTCTCTTATCAAAGTCATCATATATCACGCATTGTTATCGAAATGCACCCATTAAATAAAAAAAAATCTTATCAAATCAAATATTTTTTTTTAAATTTTATTTAAATCACTTGAATGAGTCTCGAATATGTTTTGTACTACTAAACATCAAGCCAGATAGTATTGATTTGAATTAAGTTTTCGAGAATATAACAATAATTCATAAACCACATCAATATGATATTACGCCTGATTTGTATTTCAGTGTTGCAGTTTGAACGTTAATTTTCCAACTATTTTATTTTAATATACTTTCAGTTAACTGATAACTGATTTTGAGACGTTTTTTCGCTTTACTGAAAAAGCTAAATTTTCTGCCACCAAATTCATTCGACATGCATATAACAACGTAAAAAATCTATACAAGCAGCAGATATCACAAACCTATAAATGGCACAGATTCTAAATGCCATCGACCAAAATTTATCATATAAATTATGTTTATTTTATGAAAAAGAATATCTAAATAGATTATAAAACTATAATTGTTTAAGAATTCTAAATATCATGGCAACAATGCTATGCGTTGTTAAATTATTCAAATCGTCAAAAATCTATTGGAATATCTTACAAAGCGCATCTGATTATTTTAGCATAATTCAAAAACAAATAATATATTGCTTAATCATGCAAGTGTGAAGTACCGTGTATTTGTTAGTACCGACCGTTTCACTTGGAAATATAGATAGCAATATGCTTCCAAGTAAAAATAGCCCTCGCCCCACATTGCTATCTTAATAATAAGTCATCATTATCAAGAAATTGTTATAATCAATTTAATCATATAGAGATGGCACAACTTCTTAGGTTACCATCTATAATAAAGCTAAGCAAGTTGTGTAATTTATCAAAACAGCTTATAGAACCCTTAAGTTCTGATCAAATAATATATATATATATATATATATATATATATATATATATATATATATATAAGGTGGTCCTTAATATGGACATTTTCTAATTTCCTTGCTGCCAAGGACTCAAATGGTTCCAAATTGATAAAAAAAACCTCTATGAGTTTTAGCTCTTAATCTTTTATAGTGCGCAATTCAATCAAAGTTTTGTATGAAATAGCATGAGAAAATTTTCAAAAATTTCAAAAATGTTTTTTAGATATAACTTAGCGAACAAATGAATGAAAATGAGTTTTATTCAAAATTCGACGCTCTACAAAACAAATTATAAAAATTCTATTTTTCAAAGCGTCGAATTTTCAATAAAGGATGACACGAATTGTCACTTTTAATTCTTTTGTTGCTAAGTTATACCTAAAATACATTTTTAAAATTTTCTAATTTTTTTCCATGCTATTTCCATACGAAGCTTTGATTGAATTGCGCACTATCTATAAGTTAATATTAAGAGTTAAAACTTTTAGTTTTTTTTTTATCAATTTGGAAGCACTTAAGCCTCTGGGAGCAATAAAATTCAAAAATGTCGATATTAAGGACCGCTCAAATAATTTCTGATACATTAAAAAAAAATATAAGTCAATCTTTGATTCCCAAACGTTTCGGCATACAATTTAATGTCATCATCAGTGGATATTGAAATTGGTATCTTACAACAATACAGAGTATATATTCGTTATCCAAATTTTCAGTTTGAAAACTTCCCAACTAGATATAATTTTCAACATCTTTAAATCAAATTATTCAAATAAAACAGTTTGTATATTATTATATGATCTAAAGCTCAGTAATTTTTTCTCAAATGTCAAATAATAAATAACATTATTTTTGTTTGTTTATTTCACTAATAGTAATGGAATTATGATGCCAAATGGAATTATGACATCAAACAGGATTTTGTTTCAAATATAACAAATATGTTTACATACAAGATATGTGCCAAATATTTTATATTTTTTCGAAATCCACAAGAATCAAATAATTAAACTAAATTTGTATGACTTTTTTATTTATATATAAATTATAATCTCTCTGAATTCTAATCTGCAAATATAATTAAACTAAATTTGTATGACTTTTTTATTTATATATAAATTACAATCTCTATATTATTATATGAATACATTTAATAGTTGTTTTGTTAGTTTTTATTTAAAATCAGCCCAATAGTTGATCTATATTTTATTTATTTTTATTAGAATTTATCTAACACTGATGATATATTTTTGAATGTAATGTAGAAATGCCGATAAGGAGATTATTACCGCTTCATGCCATAACGTGGAATTTGAACCAGAATCTTTGTGGTTGCACAGCCAAGACTCTTTATCATTTTTGCAACATACTGCGTTGACTTGTATTAGAATTATTATTATAACTGGCATTATTAAATATCACTTATTTACAATATGTTTGACTAAATACCGACGATGTATAGGATTTAGAATAAGAAAACTGCAAACTCGATTTTTTTTTGTAAAAATTGTTTACATTCGCTGAATATCCAAATTAAAGATATTTTTTTAAGTAAACAAATTAATTTGCATGTACAAATTCATTTTTTGAATTAAACGATAACGCGACAAAAAAGTGCTTAATTTGATAACCTTTAGTATGCACCCAAGGCCAAAGAACGTAGTTACTGAAATGCGCGGTTTGAAATGCAGCAAAGCAAATAAAACGCCATATAAATCTTATAGCGGGCTTTAAAATTTTAAAACCGCAAACACACTAATAAAATATGTAACGACAAGCAAAAATACAAACATGCAAGCAAAGAAGTTCCATGGTGTAGTTGCGTAGGCAGATATATTACTTTCGTAATTTTAATAAACTCTAGTTGTCAAGCAAGCGTTGTTCCGCAATGTATCATTTTCATTAATGAATCCGACATTTCAGCAACCATCCGGCATACGAGATCAACACAGAATAATTGCAAAAATCGAGGGTTCAACGTAGACATTTATTTGAAAAAAAAATCGTCTATATTAAATACAATGGTGACACACACACACACATATATATATATATATATATATATATATTAGGGTTGGTCGACTTGTATGAGTAAAAAAGTCGTATAGGCACATATGAATTTCGAATACTAAAGATCAAAATAAGATACTTTGCCGAAGAAACCATATCTCTAAAATAAATTCTGATGTTTTGCGCATAGACCCAAAGATTGGGTCAAATTTTGAAAAAACTTGTTTTGGCTCATTTAGAGCGCCCCAATATTGTATGACCGACCCCCACTAACTTTAAAGGCCGAATCATGGTCCTGAGTAAATTTTTAATCAACGCAAACTAAAATTGAAATTTATAAAATCTATGACTCCTTTTATAAATTTTTATCGAAAATTAACGCAAGTGCAAATAAAAGATATAGTGTCTCCTGTGACACAATTTATATTTGCCCACATCTTACAAACTATGCATTCCATCTAATTTTCTTCAATTGAATCTGTATATGATTGTTGTATGCTACGACTATTAGCCGCAAGATTTTGTTGCAATTAATTCCACGGGTGGTTTCTCTTACAATAATCAAGGTAAAGATTTAAACAACTTAGCTACACATTATCAACGATTCATAAATTTGAAACACAACAGGACAGTAGATATGACAAAACTCTCCGATTGAGGCAAAAAATTATTTTAATATCTTTAACGATCCTATTGAAAAAGCATGTTACTAATTACTCCTGTTACAGATAGCCCCTAACTCCTCTACTGAAATAAAATAGAGAAGACACTAGACCTGATCGCTTTTAACAATATTATGTAAAAAATCACACGTATTTTATATTTTGAGAACAAAATCATAAAATTGCAGTATTTATTTTTTTAATACATATAGAATAAAATGTCGCAATAAATTACAATTTTTCTATTCAAGTTCTGCGTCCAGGC